GCCATTTCAGCCTGATCTTAGCTGGTCAGCCTGGGAGATGACCAGCTAAAACCAGCTTGACCAGCCTAGCAGGCTGGGAGCCCAGCCAAAACCAGCTATGTTCAGCTTAAACCAGGCTGGTCAAGCTGGTTTTAGCTGGATTTAGCTGGTCATTTTCCCAGCCTGACCAGCTAAGACCATGCTAGAAATGGCTGGAAAACAACCTGGAAGTGGCCAAAACCCCTCTAAAACCAGCCTGGTCGACCAGCTAAAACCAGCCTAGGCTGGTTTAAGCTGGATTTTTTAGCAGGGTCAGATAACAAATTTCGAAAAAGCTGTATCTTAAACCATCGAGGGAAAGTTTATTCGGTTTTCAAATATTGTATAAATCACAATTTTCAAAATGTAAACCCTTATATGACTGGTTTTGTGGTCCACGGTCACATATCTGATAGAAGTTACTTTGAACAACTCCTGGGTGACACATAAACAGCCTCAGAGATAAAAGACATGCACTAAAAGCCATAGCAATACTGATATCAAAGGTTTTCAAAAATGGCGGCAGCAGAGATATGAATCTACACTCACCATTAAGTCCAGCGGGGATGCTCCTGTGATGATGCGGAGCCGACAGATCATCCATTGATCTTCTCACAGTGCCAATCTTCGCTTCTACAGTCTTGTGGATATGGTTATGATGATGATCTGGACTGCCAGCGCTTCCACCGCTGGATGTGCTGCTCCCATCGCCAACATCTCTTACAGTGCCCGATCCTCCGTTCAGGTTGCTCAGGCTGGACTGGCTGTCAATAGAACTCCTCGATCCAGCTCCATTCCTGTCCTCGTCCAACATGAGAATGATGTCTTTCAGCTCTGCGTTCTCCCGCAGAACGTTTTCCTGGTTGATCTCCAGCTCCTTGAGCTTCTGCTGATAGGTGCTCACCTCCTTCCATACGGAGCTCGCCGTGAACTTCCCAAACCTCTGCCATTCCCGAGACAGCTTCTTACCTTTCTGCCGGTCGTCGTCCAGAAAGCAGCAGAGTTCCCTGAGCTCCTGGTTGTCGTCTTGCAGTTTCTGGTTGATCTCCTTGAGATTGCGAATCTCGTGGAGGTGCACCTGCAGACTGCGGTTGACATCCTTCATCATGTTGCTATGCTCCAGCATCAGGCTCATCTTCTCACCATCAACCCTCCTCAGTCTCCTGATCAAGTCTTCTTTGCTCCACCTGACCAGTTCCTCGTCTGGGATCTTACTCAGGTCATCATTAGGACAGTGTTTGGCCATCATGGCTCTCGCTTACAGTCTCGGAGTATTAAAATACTCAATGCAAATGTGACAGTGTTGCTCTTCGCACCACGAAAACGCAATAAGACTCGTTTAAAAACAAAATACTCATGCGTTAGATTCTATATTTACACGTACAGGAGAAATTTAATAACAAATGTGTTCCCAAACCATTAACGTTACTTTTAATGGTGCCGCACTTACCAACAATTCTGGAATCATCCATGTATTTACATGTCCTAAAATATCCGCGAGATGTGTATCCACAACCATGATTTAAAATGAAACGGTGTTTTTTTCTTTCTCGAGGCAAACAAATAATATTTTAGATCATGTGCGATCTTACAGGTTTCAAGAGCTGCGTTTCAAAATATTCACAACCATAAACACCGCCTTCGTTCAAAAACACACACACTAACATCCGTGTTGTCAGTCATCGAAAGCCCCAAAACGATGTATGGGAGGATTTTTCCTGAGTGTTTGCCAGTGTCGGGTTCTGCTCTTTCCTTGGACTGGTGTGTGTGTGAATTGATCCGAGCGGCTCTGAGCAGGTTCAGAGATGAGAGGCAAAAGGCAGGACCTGCCCTCTTAAAGAGACAGTGTCCTCACTGTCCCGCGCCGGTGTAAAATGAAAAGATTAAATGAAAAGATTATAAATAAAAGATAAATAAAAGATTATATTGTCTTTTTCTAAAAAAAAAAAATAAAGAATTAAATACACAATAACAATTATTATTATTATCATTATTATTCACGCCGGTGTAAAATAAAAAGATTAAATAAAAAGATTATGAATAAAAGATAAATAAAAGATTATATTGTCTTTTTCTAAACAAATACAGAATTAAATAAACAATAACGATTATTATTATTATTATTATTATTATTATTATTATTATTATTATTATTATTATCATAATTATTATTCACGCCGGTGTAAAATAAAAAGATTAAATAAAAAGATTATGAATAAAAGATAAATAAAAGATTATATTGTCTTTTTCTAAACAAATACAGAATTAAATAAACAATAACGATTATTATTATTATTATTATTATTATTATTATTATTATTATCATAATTATTATTCACGCCGGTGTAAAGTAAAAAGATTAAATAAAAAGATTATGAATAAAAGATAAATAAAAGATTATATTGTCTTTTTCTAAACAAATACAGAATTAAATAAACAAAAACGATTATTATTATTATTATTATTATTATTATTATTATTA